TGCATTCTCCATTAAAAAAAAAAAACAGGAGGGGGTGAATTGCAAGTGTGCTAACCCAAGAGCTCCACAGGAAATAACGCACCAAGAAATTATCAGGAGGACAAACAATGTCATTTGACATTCAAGGTTTGTGTATAATGTACTTATATTATACAAGTGCTGATTAAATATGTTCAAACTGGCAAGACTGTAGACAATTGTGCTCTGTCTTTATTACTGAAAAAAAGCTATTGATATTATCAGTAGTCATAGTGCTTACAGTGCCTGTAGTTTCTAGGGCATGGATTTTGGAGTGGGGTCTTATTATACATTAACACGTTCGTATACCCTGAATGTGGATACATTTTAAAGGCTATACACCCTGTTCTCATATATATATATATATATATAAGCTAACTTCTAAAAATGTAAGTTGTGGTATATAAGTGCAGAGAGCACCATCATAAAAATGCAGCATGGTTCAGAACAGTTCACTCTTCCAAGTTCATGGCTTGGGGGAGCTAATCAAGAGAGCAAGGCTACAGCATCAAGGTAGATCAGTGCTGAAGACCATGTTCGGCTCTTAGTCTTACTCAACAGGTATTTACTCTTCACCAAGCTACTTAACACTTTTCATCTGTAGGTAACCAAAGACTAAAGGTAAACCAATGAGTATACTAGAGTAGAAGAGAGGGGCCCCTTTGTACAGGTTCTCTGGCAGTACTTGATCTTGTATTTGTAAGTGGGACCCCCAATTAAGAAAACTTGGAAACTTGGTTCTTGGAAACAATTGGAACCAATTAAGAAAACCTCATCCTCCAGGTTTCACTAGTTTAGATCTTGAATGAAAGGCAGTCCAGTTTGTGGATATTTTTTTAAGTGTAGTGCAGAACCACTAGGAGTGGGTGAAATACCCAAACTGCAGCAGCTTTCTCTGGCTAAAAGTCCCAGGATTATTTTTCCTTTCTCTCACTGATTTACTCTCACAGCAGGCTGAGATAGCTTTTACAAAGCAGGAGAGTCTATGGGGTCTATTCACAAAGCTGTCGAAGCTACGGCCAGATCCTTTGGCAGCTTTGTGAATAGACCCCTATGTCTTCTTTGCACAAGCTATATATGACTAAAACAGAAAGACCACTAGAGGCTTCAAAAAATTCAATAAAGCACAGCAGCTTCTCATCAATGAGGGCAGAGCCCACAGGGTCTTGGGCCCAGGGCAGGATCCAGACTCCCATATAGGACACCATACTTCAAGGTCAGTAGAGACTTTAAAAGGTTCAGCAAAATCCACAGAAACTTATCAACCAGTAGGACTGCCCAAAGTGTCCTGGGCCCAGAAAAAGATCCAGACTCATCTTGCATGAAAAAATGTCATGTTTGCCTTCGGCCATTGGCCGGCCAACAGCCTGCTTCTGACAGCTGGGCGGAGCCAGCCATGATCTTACGGCTGGCTCCGGTCACTTGCAGAGATAATATTTAATAACATGATGGAGAGAGAAAGGACGTTTTTCACCCAACACAGCCAACAAGTAATCTACTTGTAGCATTTTAGTACAGCCAGACACATGTAAACTTATTTCTGATCGGGAGAATATTATAGCTGTCTCTGCTGCGTTATCAAGTAATTGACAATATATCTTATATCTAAGAGACAATTGCTATATCAAAAATAAAGGTTTTGGCTTAAGTGGATCTTTAACTTATTGGTTTTATACAAAGGATCTACTCAGCTCTTAGTATAGTTGACCAATAGCCATTGTACTAATTGAACTAGACATTTAGCTGTGTCTATTCATTACTCCTAAAACTCAAATACAAATGTAACATTCATTCTCATCTTTTTCTAATAACGTTCTGCAGTGCCACATGGTGCTTTTCCATTAGTCCTATTGATTAGTGACAGGCTTTGCATTAATTATTAAGAACATTATATTTATTGACCTGTTGTATAGAAGACTGACATGTGAGAGGTGATTATAATGCTGGGTTGTCATCTTTGCTTATGTTATTGTGCATCATTAATTATTTAAAATCCAGCTCATGATTTTCCACCTTTCTGCTAAACATATAGGTTTAGGCCTATCCTTAAGTCTCCCTATGGTGCACAGTTGCTCGCAGGGTGATCATATTTGACTGATATTTGCAAACAATGTACTTCCTCTTTTTCACATATAAACGGGAACCTCACCACTTGTTCACTGTAACAGTAATCCAGACACATTGCTGAATTCTGGCAATTCTCAAAGGTACAGCAATACAAAAGAAGACCGAAATCAGAGTCAGAATTGTAAAAGATTTCTGCACAGCAGCCCAATGTTAAGCCATCCAGTGTGCTGCAGAAAAAGCAAAATGCCTGTATTTTTCTGCACTGCACATGACACCAGTGAGTCAACAGGTCACATCTCAGGGTCAGAATTCCTTAATATTGAAGCACAATTAAACATTATCATTTTTTACTACTTTTTATCATTGTTCATTTTTCTATATAGTATTTATGTTAGATGTGTTATTTAAGGGGGCGTGGTGGTGCATTGAAGTGAATACGATTAGCCGCACAGGAACGCAGGCACATCAATGCATGCGGTCCAGTCCGGTCGGGTCAGAAAAAATCCAGCAAGCACTATTTTTTCTGACCGGACTGGACCGCAGGCATTGATGTTCCTTGCGTTCCTGTGCGACCGATCACATTGCGTCCGGAGGGCAGTTCCATTCACTTCAATGCACCGCCACGCCCCACAAAAAACTGAGCCGGCCGCAATGTGATCCAGTGCGGGAAGTTACACGTGCAGGACCTTGTCAGCTTTCACCAGTGCCCTCCATCTTTCTCTGGTATGCATGTTGTGATATCTGCTACCTCCTACTCAGAGTCACTTGTGAGTGCATTACCTTTTGCTCTTATTCAAATAAATGAATGGATTTTAACATACTTCATGATATGAGATCTTAGCACTGGCTTCCTATTTTGTTTCTGTTTGAGCTTTTTCCCTTTGAAACCCCCACTCCTTCTTCTATGGATTGTCAGCATTGGACTTACACTGGATGTTTTATATTTATTTAACTATATTATTATTTATTATTATTATTATTATTATTATTATTATACAGGATTTATATAGCGCCAACAGTTTGCACAATATAAGGAAGACATTTACAATTACAATACAATTCAATTCAAGACAAGATAGTAAGGAGGGCCCTACCAGTGAGAACTTACAATTTAGAGATAGCTGTGTGGGGATTATTTGTTAGAAAAAAATATAGTTCAGTGTTTAGTGGACCAGTGGAAGCGGGATAGGCTTCCCTGAAGAGATGAGTCTTTAGGGATCGCCTAAAGGCAGACAGATAGGAGATAGACAGAAAGGTTGGGGTAAGGGGTTCCAGAGGATGGGAGAGAGTCTAGAGAAGTCCTGGAGGTGAGCATGGGAGGAGTTGACTAGGGAGCTAGAAAGCAGGAGGTCTTTGGAAGACGGTTAGGGTGATACTTTGAGACAAGGTTGTACCATATACAGTAGTATAGTTTTTTGGGCTACCTCTTTTATACTTTGTTTCTCCTGTTATGTTCCTCAATAGGACATTATACCTTTAGGGGTCTATTCACTAAGCTGCCGAAGGATCTAGCTGTAGCTGATCCTTTGGCTAGCTTCGGCCCCAGGACCCCTTCAGTTCAGTAGATTAGTAGAACCGAAGGGCTGCTGTATGGGCTATTCACTATAGCACGTACAGCTCCCGAAGTCAGCCGAGTGGCTCTGTCGAGCTGAAGGCATATGCTTCGGCTCGACTGAGCCGAGGTGAAAGCCGAAGCTGGCCGAACGGCCTGCTACTGACTGCTGGGCGGAGTCAGACGTCATCTCACGGCTGGCTCCGGCCACTTGCACAGACAGATCAGTGTCCCTGGTTACCAGGTAACCAGGGACACTGATCTCCAGACAGCCGAACTCTCCCAGGCGCTCCGGGAGTCTCCCGCTATTAGATAGTGGCTCCCTGCTGCCCGGGAGAGAAACACTTTCTCCCAGAAAGATCGAGCAGAGTTACCAGGGACACTGATCTGTCTCTGCAAGTGGCCGGAGCCAGACGTGAGATGACATCTGGCTCCGCCCAGCAGTCAGTAGCAGGCCGTTTGGCCAGCTTCGGCTTTCACCTTGGCTCAGTCGAGCCGAATCACACCGCATTGCATATTAATAGGTAAAGATACAACGAAATGCAATGGCTAGGTGCATTGGGGTACCAGCACATGTGCCATGACTATATGTGTTGGGATGCTATCGCATGCGCTCCTGCATTGCTTAGATATGAACAGAGCTTCATTGTTCATTTGATATAAATTTCACCCATTCACTCTTCTAGATATAACCCTACCCCCTTTTTCCTTGAAAACCTAATTTCATGGGTGAATAAGGTGTTTCCATATTAAGCCTTAACAAAGTTGTTTTTAAATAGAATTCAGTCGGCGCTCTTTTATATTCAAACTCTCTGCTCTCTGCTCAGACGGCTGTGTAATATTTATGTATTTGAGTGTACAATCCTCTTATTTTCTTGTGCATAGTCTATCCCAGCTCAAGCTTTGTGCTGAGGGTCTCTATGAGGGCCTTGTACTACTCATTACAGAGACATTATTCTGCTGAAAGGAGAGGAAGGCTGTCATCCAGGTCCCATTTCAGCTGTTATCAATGTGTTCCTGTTACCGTAGAAACCAGAGAGGGCCAATCCCAAGGCCCCTGTGTCTGGCTGGGAGCCTGTCCCTCTGTGCAGCATGTGGCTCTCATGATTAGCTGTTCACACAGACCTGAATGACAACGTGTGCTGGGAATAAGATTAGAATAATTTATTTTAAGGCAGGGAGGGCCACGCCGTGACATTTCTTTTTGTCACACGCTCACATGAGCTGCTACAATGTACCGGTCGCGTCCGATGACAGAAGACTGAATGGTTCCGCCAATTTCTATTGCAAAGAGGATTTTCAGGGTAATAAGGCTTCTGCAATGAACCTTGGGGACCGGCCACAGCCTGTGCGGATTACTTTCTTTCCATAGATCGTAAGGATCTTCCTAATTTCCAGTGATGTGACGAGTTTGGAGCTGTGAGGTTGGGAATAACATTTTCTCATTGCTGGAGCTGTGAGGTCGAGTCTATATTTTTCTCTTGCCGGCTATATCTGGAGTCTGTTGTCAGATTCACTGAATTTTCCCAGATTGCTGTGCAAATGAATCATCTGAGCATTAAGGCACCTGCTGTTAATGGATGGTGCCAGACTGGCACTTCTCTCTGCCCGCTTCCAAGATGATGAAGTTGAAAGCATTCTGTCTGGATTACTGGCAGTTCCTGTGTCTGCAGCCCCTTAATGGGCTCTATAAGAGGTACAAGCTGTTGTCATCACTAAACTCTTCATGTGCCCTTTATCTGCTTTACACCAGAGGAAATCTGTCTATTAATTTATAGTCAGATGTTACAAGATGGGGTGCTTTTCATTAATCTTAAGCAAAGTGATTTGAAGTCATTTTTGTTGAATGTGTCCTTTAGCTAACTTATATTGTTACATATAAATACCTGTGTGTGTGTGTGTGTGTGTGTGTGTGTGTGTGTGTTTACACACCTTGCCCTTACTCCTTTTAAACATTAACTCTTCAAATATAATATTTTTATTTTGTTATCTAAGCAAACTAGTGCTTTATCTGTCTTCTGATATGAAAATAAAGGTTAAACAGCATCAAAAATGGGTGGCTGAGGGATGCTAGCAAGATGGGGCTACTTGCTATTCATCAATAGATAGTAAATCTGTCTGGGGCTCAGGTTCTGTGACAAAGCAGCTTTGTGATTGATGTAGGACGGGGAGGGGGAAGCTGCGGAAAGGCAAATCTATTCATATTCATGAGCTCTGAAACATCCTTTATATCGGCAGATATCAGCAGATAACACACCCACTACTCAAACAATAGATTAAAACACACACCCTGCATGCCTGTCTGCGACGGCCTTTGTAGTGTAGTTAAACAAGTTGGCATTGTTTCTTAGGTAAACAAATGATCTGTGCATATTTTTATACCTGTCTGTGAGTTAAATTTAGCTGGAGAAGTTCAGTGTGAGAAAAATTGCAGATTCATACTCATGTGACCCTGAAACATAAGCATGTGAGCAAAACCCAAGTGCTGTTGACTATTTGGCAGCATGCAAGGTGGACAAATTATCTGCACATAGCTACAACTTTGTTCTGTATGTTCTGTGAATTGATTTTGTGATTTGTGAAGCAACATTGCAGCATTGTAAACCATTGTGGGTGAAGTGAAAATCACTTGTACTTTTTACATTCTTGACAAGTAATAGGGAATCAGACTTTTGATGTCTCGTTTTAAGATTTTCAGTTTGAAAAAGAATTAGGAGCTCTAGACACTAATGATAATGATTTAAAATGGGGATGCTTCCATGGAAATTGGACAGTGATAGACTTGGTGAAAATATGAATGTTAGTTATTTGGCTGATTGTTTTATTTAGATCTATCCTATTAAAAGAAAAGAGAACAGAAGAATGCAATTAATGATGTTGTATGTTTTCCGGATGTTGTTCTGTGCGCACAGGTAGAAAGAACCATCAGGAAGGAGATGATGCACACATGGAGAAGACTGATGATGAAATATGTTGTATATATGTTTGCCCAATATAATACTTATGGGCAGGAGTACTGTGCCCAGTATCATTCTGTAGGTTATTTGATCTCCTGACCCTGTTCGGCCTCAGTCCATTGCACTCGGTGAAATATGTTACTTGACAATGGGGCAGAGATCCATCAGTGGCCTATAACTAATCATAGGGGCTAAAGAAGTGAAATGGTGTTCGCCCAGCTCACACAGCCCCTCATTTGTTTTCTCTCAGGGTTGGACAGCAGCACCAGCTGGTTGTGTCATCTCTCATTGTTGTTTCAGGATGGAACTCAATTACCTTTTGTTGTCCAGCACGTGTGTGCTTTAAAGGACTCGATGTGCAGTGATATTCTGAACCTGAAAGGAAAATCATTTGGCATTAGTTTGAATTTATTGGTCAGATTAAATTTACATTTTTTTCAAACTTCTGGTAATAAAAGAAACTCGTTTATTTATCTAGTTACAGAAATGCTTGTTATTTTAATTTCTCAACTATGGAGCTTATTTTAATTAGATAACCCATACGTTCTGATCACAATTTGTTATTCCTTCAAGTAGTTGCTCTAAAAGTGAAGATTAAATCTGATTGGATAGTGTACGTTACTGGATACTGTACATCATCACTGGTTATTGCACAACCTTATCTGTCATTGTCGCTCTGCCTTAACAGATCATAGCCCTGTTTTTTTATTGTTGTTTAGAATATCCACTGTCACATTGGACCTTTCAATTTGGGACTTCATTCCGTTTCTGAAGTAGCACCTAAAACTTAGCAAGGGCCAACATGTTTCTCATATTTTGACACTGTGCAGGTTGAAGAGGTTCTTTCCAACTTCTCAATACTAGCATATGAATAGGGAAATATTTAAATACATATCAACTTGGCCATAGAGCTCTCCTTACCTGAACTCCAAAGGGTTACCTGGCCAGAGGTGGATCATCCACAATGCACCTAGGCAGGAGCCCTGGTCTCAGTGGACAGTGGTATAGACAATGCAGAAGGGCAAATTCTCTGTTGCAGTCCTTATCAGTGTCAATTAAAGTGATGAGGGGCGAAGCTGCTAACTTGTCTAGGGCCTCATCTAGCCTTAATTTGTCTTTGCCCCTGACGTAACTGGGTTGACTACTAGACACTGTAGTTCTTCACACTCAACATCATTTTGGCAAATCTGCTGAATAATGTAACTACAGGCTAGGTAATCTTCAAGATGGGTCCAGAGTCACTCATTTGCCTGCGGCAACTCATTTGGTCTCACCAGGCCCCACTGCCATGTGATTTTTGAACAACATTGGAAGTGAATTTATTTCTGGTTTCCATCATTTTGAAGGTATGCTGTCCTATTGTGAGAGCATTCACATATGCTAACCAATAAAATTATGAAGGTGCACTGCCCCACTGTGACAGTGGTCACATATTTTGACCAATAAAAATGTGTGATTTCTCACATTCTAGCCTCTTGTAATGTATTATTCCCAACACTGAAATATTATTGTCCTCTTTACTCTGTGAGATTAACAAGTACCCAGCATGCTGGTAAAACTGGCAGAATCAGCACCATATGATCTCCCTGGCACCAGTATACAGCTCCCAGTGAATTGGTACCGTTTGGCCAGAATACAAGTGTCAGTGGAATAGGAACTACAGTGCAAGCATTTGCATGTTTGCATATTCATGATTCATTATGCTCTTCATTGATTTTTTTATTCTGACATATTTCTATAAATATTTTGACAGTGTTGCAAATAAAACATAAAACTGTCTGTGTCTCTTGGTTGGCAATTATTATACAAGGAAGTGAAGAATCTGAAGGGTTGTTATCTAGCAGCTGAGGAGATCCAAATTTGCATCAGCTGCAAGCATGCACTTACTGTCAGTAGAGCTAGCTAGGGCAGCTGCATTTATGGACAACAAACAAGTATTTTGTTTGTGTATTTTTTTTTATTTTTCCTAGCATTATTCATTAAAGTACACTTGTCTTCAGAGAAATATTTGGAATGCCATTGCTGACCTCCTTCCAAAATGCTAGTTGCCTGGCTATGCCTGATTTCAATATTTCTTAGTTGTTGAACTGAAATAAGCATGCAGCTAATGAAAGTCAGAGAAAGTCAGTGATTCCTTATCTGTATACTTGATCCGTGTCAGTGACTCAGGAAGCATTGAAGACAGCCAGGCTTCTGGCAGTTTCAGCAGAAGGTCATCAATGAAAGCCTCCATTTTTCTCTCATAAACAGTGTACTTGAATGAAGAACTCTCATGAGGATTAAACAATTAAATACGGTCCTTACATAGTTAGTCAGTTTGAAAAAAGACACAAGTCCGCATGAATTACTTTCATATCTTAATACCTGTATTAGCCACCCCCAATGTAATGCTATTAAAATGTGAAGAAAATCCATTCCTTATTCATTCCTTTACATGTTTTCTTTTCCTCCCCTGATACAACTCCAATGTTTAGGTGTTACTAATGTTAACGTCAGTTGACTCTTCCGACTGTTTAGTGAGCATGCTTGTTGAGAGCGCTGTCAGTTCCACTGTTCCAACCCTCAGCCCTCTTTATCTTTTCAACTGGATCCACCACCCTGTGATCCAGCTTCATTGGTTGCTAGGAATCAGGCGCCAAGGCCGTCCAGAGTGGTTGGTTGTTTTGGTGCAGATGCCCGCTTGGGTCCTAGCAACCAGTGAAGCAACAAATTAAGCTGGATTGCAGATCCAACTGAGCCTATGACTGCTTGAAAAGACAGAGGTGGCAGAAAAGGGAACTGGGTGCAAGTCGTTCACCTCCTCCTGCATACCCAGTGACAGCACTTTTCTTAGGGAAGTGCCTGGTGCCAGAGACAAGCGATGTTACTCTCCACTGATTAAATATTTGCCTCCTTGCTAAATGCATGATAACATAGTGGTGGAGGAGGGATGATGTTCTCTCACCTGTCTCAGAAACTACACTACATAGAAAGACTGGACAAAGTGGGCTATTGAAAGCGCTGATTGGCTGAAGTCAGTGTTTGAAAAGTCGATTGAAAAATATGTACTTTTGTTTAATGGAGTGGTTCTGGCAATATCACCCACAGCTCCAATTTTGGGCGAGTTCTACTGACCCGCTCAACTGTAACCCATAACAAGAAATTATTCCTTATCATAATTATGCGTTGATTAAGTCAAATAAGTTGTCATGATAAAAAGTTTGGCATTTGTATGAATGGTCGGTGTAGTTACAAATATAGAGAAATTGTTGGCCTTGGTTCATTGGTGCCCTGAAGAGTTTAACTACTGTTGGGGATTTTTGAAAGCTAAACCTTTACAGTCACCAGACAATAAGAAGACGGGAGTCACCAGACGCCTGTTCCAGTGACAATTGTCAAAGGCAGATTTCTTGTCACTGTGTAGAGATTACCTCTGGGGACACAGACACTATAAAATCCCAACAGGATTTCTAATCTTTTCCCATTTGAAAACCATAAAAAAGGTTTGGCTGGAGTAGTTCTTTAAATATATACATGTCAAAGTAAAAAAATATGCTATGTACCTTTGAGCAGTCATGTAATTTTCTCATAGCTGACGTAAAGGTTCTCTTTGGCAGACGCCATCATGAAATCTGAATTTCACAGTGAAGTGATTATTTCTAAAGCAAGGTTATATTATTGTAGAGCAGTTTTTGTGGAACCTCTGCCTTCACGTTTCTGTCTCTGAGTAACCAGTGGAAAATCAGCAAGACCGGCACCT